AATCGGTGACCTTTGATTCGCTCGTGATTCGTTTCGATTTTCGTGTTATTCTCCGAACTCGTAAGCTTCTTCTTCCTCTATTCTCTTCTTTGTTTCCCCTTTGGTTTTAGCGTCTTGGGTTTTGCTTTCTGAGTTTCGACCTAGTCGGTGTTTCGTTTTCTGATTGTTTTGAAAATCTCTGATCTTTGAGTATACAAGTAGATAATAGAAAATGGGTTTCAATTATTTCGATCTATTGTGTGAAATTCTTTGAATCTGTCATGGTTTTTGGTTATTAATTCGTATATGGAGTTTGCAAGCTAAATTTCAAATCTTGATCGAGTTCTTTAATCATCAGAATCAATGATTCATTTTTTGGGTGTTTTTTTCACAGCTTTTTGAGTTTCTTTAAGAGGTAAGAAGCAATGATTGGATTGTTTAAAGTAAAGGAAAAACAAAGAGAACAAGCTCAAAATGCTACTAGAGGAGGAGCTTCTGTGAAGAAACAATCTGCTGGTGAACTTCGTCTTCACAAAGGTAGAGTCTTTGATCTTTCTTTTGTTTCACAGATAGTCTCACGATTTTGGGTTCTTCAACTTTCAATTTATGGTTTTTTTTTTCCAGATATTTCTGAGTTGAATCTTCCAAGTTCGTGTTCGATATCTTTCCCGAATGGCAAAGACGATTTGATGAACTTTGAAGTGTCCATTAAACCTGATGATGGATACTACCAGTTAAGTAGATCTTTTTACATCTGCGCTATGCTCGTACTTAAAACATGTTCGGGAACTCATTTGTTTCGTTCTTGGCTATTAAACAGCAATGGTACATTTGTATTCACATTCCAAGTGTCTCCTGTGTATCCACATGAAGCTCCAAAAGTTAAATGTAAAACCAAGGTAGGATCCTTCTTTTGCATTACTTATAGACTATAGTTCCATCTTATACTTTACAATTGCTTGTTTATATATAAAAGATGTTTCTTTGTTTGTTTTGTCTTTTAGGTTTATCATCCCAATATCGATTTGGAGGGAAATGTTTGCTTGAACATCTTGCGTGAGGACTGGAAACCAGTTCTTAACATAAACACAGTTATCTACGGACTCTTCCATCTTTTCACGGTAAACTTTAGCCAACTGTTCTATCAAGCTTCGGGTTTTAGTTACCTTGGTGTTTTCGGAACTGAGTGTTTTGTTTTGACACAGGAACCCAATTCGGAAGATCCTTTGAACCACGAAGCAGCAGCAGTGTTAAGGGATAACCCAAAGCTGTTTGAGACCAATGTCCGAAGGGCCATGACCGGTGGATACGTTGGTCAAACCTTTTTCCCGCGCTGTATCTAACAAAGCTCCGGTTCGTGTTCTCCAAGCAAAAAGATAAGAACCGAACCCTTATCCGCCATTGTATTTCTTCTTCTTTTCCAGGACCCTTGTTTGTTTGTTTGCTCTTGTAAAATTACATTCCGTGTACAAACCTTTTTTCCTTAGATCGAGATCTTGTGAACTTTTGGTTCTTGAGAGTTCGACAAAGGAGACTGAAAGGAATTTGAAAACTCAAAAATCTCGGTTGTATAACATGTTTGATATTTCTTGGGTTCCTTCTGAATGATATGTTTGATTTCATGGGAAACAAAATTGGATATACAGCATTCATAATTGATTTTCTTTTGGTTTGGCTCTATTTTGGTAAACAACACTTGGTTTTCAGATTGAGA